ATTTCATATGGGCTTCCCCCATAGAATTCGTCCACCTTATAATATAAGGCAATCCATGGCCCAAATTGCAATTATCTTATAATTACAATTCCAGTCCCTTAAGTTTAATTAATCTCTTTTAGTCACAAAACTAATTACTAATTAATTCTTGAGTAATATTAATTAAACAATATGATTTCTCCTTTAATATATTATTCTCATAATATATTAATAAATCATATTTAATCATTTCTCTCCATAATTCATCCTATCAAGTTGCTTTGGTGAACGCAACCCAAAAAGACCATGCACCATCGGGTCAAGTACATACCAAAATAGTTATGGACTTAGACACTAATCCAACATTTGTATGTTTATATGATTATATGTTTATATGTATACCGGGCAGAGCCCGATGCTAGGTGGGGACTATTTTGTGTTCATTTCTGTAAATATGGTATGTGGTCTTTTGGGGAACTCAGTAAACTTTGTGCATACGGTTTTCAATTTATCTTTTAGGTACTTTTGGATTCAAAGGAAAGAGCTTGGTATGATTGCAGAGCACACACCATTCGATTCCACATTTTTGTGATTTAATGTAATGATGATGATGTATTGTAAAATTTTGATTATCTTGGTTTTATGAAAATTATATGATTTACTGTTTTATTAATTTAAAAATGAAAGATTTTCGGGTCTTATTTTGGGGCGTTAGACTTTTCCTCTTGCATTTTCTATTACTAAGAATCAATCTTATAGTCTCTATGTTCTTATGTATTGAGTGTATGTGCCTATCTTTCTTTAAATACAAGTCAATATATTCAACAATATTATTCAATTTTTGAATATTCTACTATTTGGGCATCTGACTTTTCCTGATCCATCATGAAGCATATTGCCCTAAAACATCTATTCGAGGAATGCTTCAAAATTCAAAGTTACAACGAAAGGAAAAAAGTCATCCTCGCTCCATAAGGCTACGAAATGGAATGGACATTAAAGAAAGAAAGAAAATTAATCTTTGTGGAATGTGTAGATAAAGTGGTGATAATAATAATAATAATAATAATAATAATAATAATAATAATAATAATAATAACTTGTTCTTTTAAGCCTTGGAAACGACCTAAGGATAGGTGAATATGATTGATTGAGTAGCGTTTATTTGGTTATTTATGTTGAAAAATACTTATTTTGTATTAATAATGGTTGATTATATAAGATTCATCCAAGTTATATAACTTATGTTTGTATTTATACCATTTGATGTTCATCTTAGTGTTGTTAGTATTTTATTATGTTTTCTTCAAAATGGTTATAAAAAAAGAAATCAAACCTTCTATAAAAAAAATAACATATTCTTATTCTAATAAATAAATAGGTTTTTTCTATTATTGATAAGTGTCATACTATTAGAACTCCTTATTAATATTATATGTGATAGCCACTTGTTAACCTACTAATTTTCAATTTTTAATTTTAAAATTTTCATTCTAATTACATCAAATTAATAATTGATTCTCTATTTTAAATTTTAAATTTTTTCACTTTAATTATATTAAATTAATAACATTAGATTAAAAAAAATAATAATAAATACATATTATAAGATGATATAACTTCATATATTTATTTAAATCAACGATTATAACTTTATATAACTAAAAATATTTCATAAATAATAATTTATTTAAAATAATTGATTAATAATTTTAATTTTTTAATACGAAAGTTTAATTAATTTTATAATCATGGCTCTCCGGGTTATAAACTAATATACAATAAAACTAAAAACTACTTGTTAGTTGTTAATGTTTGCACTACAAGAAACGGGACCTATCGGGACGAAAGATGTCATCTCTATAGGTTCAAAAGTCGTCCCTATAGGTGTCCGGGACGACATGTCATGCTTGTAGCTCTCGTCCTCATAGCCTGTCGCAATAGATCTTTTTGGTCATCACTATAAATATCGTCGCAATAGCTATCCTTTAAAGACGACATGTCGTCCTGTTCTGGTTCGTCGCTATACATTGCTGGTCTCCATAGATGAAGCTATAGAGACGACATGTCGCCTCTATAGGTATATCTATAAACACAACACGTCATCTCCATAGATAGAGATGTAGTCGGCTCACCCTATCCTTTAGCAACAATATGTCGTCCTAGTAGATGCACCTGTAGAGACGACATGTCGTCTCTATAGATCCACTTATAGAAACGACATGTCGTCTCTATATGTATGCCCATACATCTGCTCTTTTTTCTCTATAATTTCCTAATTTTCACGTCACAAAATTACTAAAGTAGTAAATTTACAAAATAGATAAAACGGTAAATTTAATTGCAAAACATTAATATTTGATACAATCTCAAAACACTACATTATTAAATATAATTCATATGGAGAACAAAATTATTAACTTGAGGAAATTTGCATAATGTGACATCCCTATTTTCAGGCCAGAAAAGACCGATTTTGTTTATGCTTTATAAAAACCAGAGTACTTCTTTTAATAAAAATGTTGCGGAATTTGTTCCAAGAAAAATACGATAAATACGTTATTTAAAACATTTTCGAAGAAACGTATTTTATTCATTTCAAAACGTTTGGGATGTCATCGTTAATACAGAAACATAAGCATAAACAGAACTTACATTTATTTACACTAGTGATATACATCTCTTTAAATCTCTCGGTGTAAAGTGACTTCGTATCAACACCTGTGATATAAATAAACTGAGTGGGTCAGGTTGGGAAACCTGGTGAGTACATAGGGTTTTCAACCCACAATAATATAATTATTATGTTTTAACAATCAATCAATTAAACCCAATTATCCATCCCCATTATCTTCTTTACTCTTAAGGATCTACCCTAAGAATCAGCTATTCCTCATTCATTCATTCATAAGGATTATCCTAAGGAATCAGCACAAAGTCCATCATTGCCATGGCTTATAGAATATATCTGGTGAACACGTAGTCCGAAACATCTGGTAAACACTTAGTTCAAAAGTAACTAGTGAACACACTTAGTTCAAAATACCTAGCGAACACACTTAGTTCAAAGATATGTAGTGAACACACTCAGTTCAAAATACCTAATGAGCACCTAGTTCAAAAACACCTACAGGTTACGAGCCTGCTATCGTTCCACTGGACCGTCTAGTATCGTCCATAGTCGTCATCTATACTCCAGTAGATGACTGGATCACTAACAACACTGATGTCTCCCATCGTGTTATCACAAAACAACTATTTCATCTACCCATGTTTTACCCAACACATTTTGTAGATATAAAGTACATATACAGTTTAAATCATTTAAAACATGTATAAAAATCTTTCACCCAGCATAGACAGCAAGTATTCAGACAATATACACACATAGCACGTAATTTATATAAAATACTTCATATCTATGTGTAAGATGAAAGGGAACTATGCACTCACTTGAAAGGTGGTGACTTAGTACTCGAACAGCGCTTCGATACTCTCAAAACAATTTCCTTCGATAAAACCTAGTACCAATACCACTAGGATTTAGTCTAACGATAACCGCGACAAATTAATTAGTCTGACTATTATTATTATTATATAAGCGTTAATAACACTCAATATAACTCATAATAATAGTCCAAATAATTATTTTAAGGACCTAATAACATTCCTATAATTATTTGAAAGCTATATTAAAAAAACTGCGTAAGCGTAACACACTTACAGTGAATTTTATCGAAAACCGGAACTTAATTGGAGCAGCATTTCGAAACCGAAAAACTCCTTTTTCTCGGGACTCCGGGAGCCTCGGGGCTTCCCTAGGGTGCTAGGGGATCACCTAGGCTTAGAGGAGGGTTAAAACCCTTAGAGAGAGAAAGTAGTGAGAGAAAGAGTTGATTTTTCGTGTGAGAAACCGGATGCCCTTGCACCCCTATTTATAGGTGCGACACTTCGCGCTACGCTGGGCGTACGTTCGCTCTACGCGAGGCGTTCATCGGATAAGGCTTCCAAGTCGGATACAGCTGGCTTTGTACATCGGACGGATAAGGCGAGGGTACGTGGGGCGTACAACAAGGGCAGGTGTCAAGATCCGAAGCGAGGACCGTGTTCGGCAAGCAATGGACCTGATCGAGCCACGTCATCATTTCGCAACAAATTTTGCAAATTCATACTCCGACTTCTAAAAATCATAAGTTTCGCATACGAGCTCCGTTTTCGACTTTCTTTATATCCACGCGAAGGTGGGAACGTACTCTACAACTTTCGTTTAGACTTCATTGGCTAATTTTGACTTGATTTTAAATTTTATATTATTAACAGACCGGGACAGGATTGGTCCGTTAAATCCTCATAACTTCTTCATCCGACGTCCGTTTTCACCCATCTTTTTCTCGTTACTCTACTCTTAACGAGATCTTCGATTCTCGTTTAGGTTGTGTCGGCTAAAAACCGCTCGATCTAACATTCGAATTTCGGGTTGTACACTGCTAATCCGAAACTTTGAAAAATCATAACTTCTTCATACGAAGTCAGATTTAGGCATTCTTTTTATCGATGTTCTTAGTTTAACGTATTCTACAACTTTTATTTATACCGCTAAGGTTAAATCTCGCTCTATCGTAAATTCACTATTTACGCTTCCCGGAGTCGTGCCGGTTCCAACGCGAAACTTCGACGGGTCATAACTTCTTCGTTATAACTCGGATTTCGGTGTTCTTTATATGTATGGAAACCTTGAGACATATTATAAAACTTGGTTAAGATTATTTATTCTAAATAATATTTTTTCAAAAAGTCGTTTTCGACCCCTATTGCCTCTAAATTCACTAGCCCGGATCTACGGGCGTTACACATAATCATCACATGCCTTATCATTTGTGTACATAATACTAAATTCTACATGGTTTATAAAAACACCATGAACAATGGATTGTTTCTCATCATAGTGTGACCTTTTTTGCTCCTTAAAGCTTCTTACATTCTTCCCCCTTTTATTATCTGGAAAAAAAAGGATGAATTAACTAGGAGAAGAATGAACCTTGATCTTGATCCATGGCATCTATTTCATCTGCATCATCCAAAGATGTCCATCCGGAATGCAATCTCATTCAGTGTTAAAAGATTTCAACTGAACATAATCCTAACCACCTTCTGCAAAAAATAAAAAAGTATAAATTGTAAGTAAAATGACCACATTTTAATGATTTTTAAAAATAAAAGATGAATAAATTTATATACCATTGAATTTTTATTTTATTTTTTTATTTTTTTGATGTAATAAAGGTAAGCATCTGTTCCAAAAGGTTGGATTCCCATATATTTGCACATATTCACTAATCAAGGCCTAATAAACAAAAAGTTTTATGAAATAAATCAAATTCAAATTATGTAATGTGTACAGTTTAATTGGTACATGTTTCAAGAAAACATGCAACTGGGGATGTGAATCTTGATCGATTAAAACATTATCCAAAATTGTCACAATTCCCATTTCTTTGTATATGTTGTAAAGTCGGGGTAGCTGAACAACACAAGTATGCATATAAATTATAATGTTAGTTGATATTAAAGTATAAACATTTGTTGTCTTTTAAAGTATTATAGTAAGAGATCACCTGAATCAACCAGACAACATTCTCACTGTATAATTCATTGTTTACAATCCAACTAGCTAAATTGTCCCATTCACTTTGCTTTCTTCCATATACAGATATTTTGTATTCAGCCATCTGTCAAAAGGCAAAAGCTTTAAGTGTAAGTGTAAGTGTCATGTATGAATCAAAATAGATAAAAGGAATAAATAAATAACATGGATTTCAAAACTCACTTGTCCCATTCACTTTGCTTTCTTCCATATATAGATATTTACTCGCTTCAAGATCTGCAAACACTTGGCTTGTTACCTCAGCAAGAAAACGACCTGAAAAAGTAGTAAAACTTACCCTGAATAAGATTGTCCTGTTTCAAGAAAATCTCCCTAAGCCTACTTTGACCACATGGGTTGTATTTCGGATTGAATTTATCAAAACGATGAAATGTGCACTTCTAATTGATCAACATTCAGGTCGTATCTACATTTAAGACTTATGATAAAAAAAAACATTCACACAAGACGATATAATTGTTCTACAGATAGTAAAGTTACCTGGTTAAATCCAAGCTCTCAAAAACCTCTTTTAAGGTTAGATATGTCCCATCACAAAATATTAGAACCTGAAACAGGAAAAAAGAAACTTTGATTCATGCAAAATAGAAACACATTTTTAAATGATCAAGAAATAGATATGAAGCATTACCTCATCTGGTTTCTTTCTAAACTTGGACTTAAAGAACCTTAACAGATGCTTTTGATTCATGTTATCTTACAATCTTTATCTGCATAAACATGAACCACGCCATCTTCCATTTGAAAATAATGTTGCAAGCATTTGAATATCAAGTCAAGATTCAAGAAAATAAGCATCAAGAACAAACTTGTGTCAGAAACTTCAAACCTACATCATATTCTGTCTCAGGGGTATACTCAAAAGGATTTGGATTACGCTTTGGAGAACTAGGATCAGATATAACTTGTTTCTCCCATGGAGCAATGCTTTCTCTGAACACATAGCTCTTTCGCATCTCAAGACAACCTTGTAATGCTCTATAAATCTCTGCTTCATCAGAAGATGGTGTCTCTGCAATAAGAGGAGTTGGAAAGAAAGAAGATTATTTAATTTTCAAATACTTGTGTGTGTTTGTGTTTTCCTGTATAGATGAAATTACAAACAAAAAGAAAGAGAGAAGATTACCAAATGGGCTGATTCTCAGCCTTACAAAGGTCTCGTGCTCTGGTTCTTTCCTAAGAATGTTAGCAGCTACAGGATCTGGTTGAACACCATGCAGGTCTCCAGATACACTATGCTCTCCATTTGCATTATTATCTTCTGGTAAGCTCCCATGACCCTGTTTGGTAGATGCCAAAAAAATGTTAAAAAGTGTGTGTTTCAAGATGGAATATCAGGTATTAGTTACAAACACACACAGAGATCTAATAATGTATCAAAAGCTTACAACATTTCCATTAGTATGAAGGTATGTTGTATCTAGATCAGCATTGTCAGTCATATCAGCATCTTCTTCAGACGAATAGGAAGTAGACAGAGAGAGTAAAACGGAAGGATAAGTACCGATTGGAGAGGATACGTGATGATTTCAACAATGATACCTCCGTCAGCTCCGACAAGGCCATTCACAACAGTGTTCGACATTCCTCTCTGTCAATGATTTCTGTGAGAGCTATGAAACCATATAAAATCACAATTCCAGTTTTAAACACATAATTGCTAACATAAACAATAATTCCACTTTCTAACCGAGAATTACTATCCTAGGTCGCCAGAGTGGGGCTTGTAATTGTTAGAACTCGTAACCGGGGGTGAAAAGGAAGTCGATAGTTGGAATCGTCGGTGTTGAAGCTGATCGTCGGTGGTCTTCGGCAACTAGCATGAGGATCGGTGGAGAGAGGAAGAAGATTTAACGGTGGTGGGAGGTGTGGAAGTCGTCAGGGGAGAATCTTTGACCGATAGATCGAGATAGACCGATGATTGATTACTTAGCGTGCGTGAATGAAACGAAGGGGCTGTTCCAATTTCGGCCATAGAGAGCTGTGAGGATGACAAATCGTCCCTATAGCTATCTCCAAAATGACCTTCCCCATTATTTCCGTCAAAGGATTTAAAAAATATGTTTTTTTTATTTATTTATTGGAGCGAGAAGTCGTCCCCATAGGTGTTTCGAGAACGCACCAAATTCACTTTCGTTCCCGCCTAACATGTTGAGACGAGAGATCGTCACTGTAGCTTCAAAAGTCAAAAATAATTAGTCAACTCTATGGAAACAACATGTCGTCCCTATAGGGTGACTATTGCGACAACATATGTCGTCTCTATAGATCTCGTCTCTATAGGTGCTTATTTTTGAAGTGTTGTAATTTACTATAGTTTAATTTTTTTTAACAGCTTAAAATCATTATCTTAAGCACTCAAGAAACCTGTAAATTAAATTGATAAACTTTAATGTAATAAATTAGTAAAAAATAAAGTTACATGGTCTTTTGATTATCTTGCAAAACAATTTATATTGTAAAGTTAATGTAATGAATTAGTAAAACGTAAAATTACGTGGTCTTTTGATTATCTTGCAAAACAATTTATATAAACAGTTTGTAAATTTAATGATAAATGAAAAGCAACGTAATATATATATATATATATATATATATATATATATATATATATATATATATATATATATATATATAATTTAATCAATTGGAGCCATATAGTTTTCACATGTATTATTTATTTAAACTTGTTAACCACTTTTACGGTATATTTACTTTATTTTTCACATTTGAAAGGATTTGTAAGTGTACTGTTTGCGACATTTTATCAACAAGTTTCACGACAAGTTCCACAACTCACATTTAAAATTTTTAGCTTATCGTGCTAAAAGTTAGAATCGAGTTCGTAAGTTTAACTCTATCATGGAAGAAATTGGAAAACCATATTCACAAGCTCGTTAGTGGCTTGAGGGGCATTCATTTTGTAGATGGAAACTTGCACATGATGGTGGAAAACGCTAAAGGGTGCTCACAAAAAATATGTCATAGGTATTTAATATTGTACTTAGAGGTGCTCGTTTTTACCAGTCATTCCATGTATGGAACTTACATTCTATAGATTGGTTAACTTCTTTGTTGTGAGTTGTTCTTTGGGACCTACTGCTCAAGCTAATAGAGATGTGTTTACTCCTCATGTTGTTATATAGCAAGCGGCATCAGTAACAAAAGCTAGTGCACACACCCTGAAATCTTTAATCGAGAAAAAAAAATTGAGGTGGAAACTAAAAAAGGAAAAAATGTGCATATAGTTGAGTTGGAGAAAAAACTTGTGCATATGGTAAGTGAGATATATATAAGTATCCATGTTCTTATGTATTGAGTGTATGTGCCTATCTTTCTTTAAATACAAGTCAATATATTCAACAATATTATTCAGTTTTGAATATTCTGCTACTTGGGCATCTGACTTTTCATGATCCCTCATGAAGCTTATTGACCTTAAACATCTATTCGAGGAATAATTCAAAATTCAGAGTTACAACAAAAGGAAAAAAGTTGTCCTTGCTCCATAAGGCTACGAAATGGAATGGACATTAAAGAAAGAAATAAGCTAATCTTTGTGGAATGTGTAGACAAAGTGGTTATAATAATAATAATAACAACAACTTGTCCTTTTAAGCCTTGGAAACAACCTACGGATAGATGAATGTGATTCATTGAGAAGCGTCTATTCAAGACTTTTAGTTATTTATGTTGAAAATTATTTATTTTGTATTAATAATGGTTGATTATATAAGATTCATCCAAGTTACATAACTTATGTTTGTATTTATACCGTTTGCTGTGCATCTTAGTGTTGTTAGTATTTTATTATGGTTTTCTTCAAAATGGTTATAAAAAAAGAAATCAGACCTTCTATAAAAAAAAAATAGCATATCCTTATTCTAATAAATAAATAAGTTTTTTCTACTATTGACAAGTGTCATACTATTAGAACTCCTTATTAATATTATATGTCACCTATCATACCACTTGTTAATCTATTAATTTTCAATTTAAAATTTAAAATTTAAAACTTTCACTTTAACTACAGTAAATTAATAATTGATTCTTCATTTAAATTTTAAATTTTAAATTTTTTCACTTTAATTATATTAAATTAATAACATTAGATTAAAAAATAAAATAAAATTAATACATATTATAAGATGATATAATTTCATGTATTTATTTAAATCAATGATTATAATTTTATATAACTAAAAAATATTTCTTAAATAATAATTTATTTAAAATAATTGATTAATAATTTTGATTTTTTAATATGAAAGTTTAATTAATTCTATAACCATGATTCTCACGGGCTCTAAACCAGTGTACAATAAAACTAAAAATTACTTGGTAGTTGTTAATGTTTGTAATTTATTATAGTTTAATTTTTTTAACAACTTAAAATCATTATTTTAAGCACTCAAGAAACGTGTAAATTAAGAATGAGTTGATTGAAAAACTTTAATGTAATAAATTAGTAAAAAATAAAGAATGAGTTGATTGATAAACTTTAATGTAATAAATTTGTAAAAAATAAAGTTATATGGTCTTTTAATTATCTTGCAAGTTGCAAAACAATTTATATTGTAAAGTTAATGTAATAAATTAGTAAAAAGTAAAATTACGTGGTCTTTTGATTATCTTGCAAAACAATTTATATTGTAAACTTAATGATAAATGAAAAGCCACGTAATTTCAAATATATATATATATATATATATATATATATATATATATATATATATATATATATATATATATATATATATATATATAAACTTAATGATAAATGAAAAGCCACGTAATTTCAAATATATATATATATATATATATATATATATATATATATATATATATATATATATATATATATATATATATATATATATATATATAGGAGACGGTTCACTTGAAAATAAAAAAAAAGTAGAGATTTTGAGATTAAACCTCAGCCATATATTTCGTATTTGCCAATCTAATGCTCTAGCGTACTAGTAACAACAATGTATGTATAATCATAAATGATTATATGGCAGAGAGGTATATACGTATATGCATAATCATAAATGATTATACATATATGTCTGTTCACAGATTGAGTAATCATAAATGATTATTACAGTTAGTCGTAGAAGAGGTGGTGGTGACGGTGGTATAAGTAATGGAGGTGACAATGGTGTGGTCGACTGGTATCAGAGGTGGTAGTAGTGGTTAATATATATATATATATATATATATATATATATATATATATATATATATATATATATATATATATATATATATATATGGGGATAGGGAATATACATTACAGCCCCACCTAAGGTTAGGTACTAAGCCTCTAAAATATATCGTTTTAACATGCTAAATATACCCGGTTTGGTTTCACTTGGTAAATATATCATTCTCCATAAAATTTCTTTCTTTCATTATCGTTTTATCATCTCCGTTTTCTTTCCTCAATTATCGTTTATTACTTCATCCAAGTGAACATTACTAAACCCTAGACCTAAAGCTAAACCCTAAATTTAAACCCTAAACACTAAAGCTAAACCCTAAACCCTAAATCTAAACACTAAACCCTAAACCCTAAACTGTAACCCTAAACAAAACCCTAAACCCTAAACTCTAAACCTTAAACCCTATTGTGTCGATCTTGAATTTATATGTTGATGTATTAATCGTGAATCCATTAACTGTAATCTTTATATAGTAAAACAATGTATTTTTAAGAGGTTTAGTACCTAAGCTTAGGTGGGGCTATAATGTATATTTCCTTTTCCATATATATATATATATATATATATATATATATATATATATATATATATATATATATATATATATATATATATATATATATATATATATAAAATCAATTGGGAGTTACCAAAAACAAATATACTATGTTTTGGTAATAAGTTTGAAACTGGATTGATAAATATTTTTTAAAACTACAACGCTTAGGTGCAAAACTCAAGAGCGAGCCTGATAATAACATGTACGTTGCATGGGAATCATGGTTTTAGTTTAGAGATTACTTGTGTTTATATAAAGTACAAGATGGAAAGGATTAAGTGTAAAGTGGTAAGTTAATGAGGTTACGGGAGCTCTTTATTAGATATATAGGGGTTAAGATGTAATTTGCATTAATATCATTATAGATTAGGGTTCTAAATGTATTCAGTTTACAGCTTCCGTTTCCTCTGTCAGTGATCAACTGATCGATCATACCAAAATTAGGGTTTGCTTACAAACCCAAAGTTCTTTCTTTTCTTGATATAGATTACTACCGTTTATCATTAGCTATTCATCAAACCATTAAGTTTATTAGAGTGTATATCTCCAGAAACGTTCTTTCTTACCTAAAATTCCCAGATCTGTTGATTTACAAAAGGGATCAAATGGACACCAACAATGTGGAGAGAATTGAGAGTCAAAACCAGCATTTAGAGTCACACGAACCAGGCGCCACCTTCCTAAGTTCATCCTTCAATGGAGTCAACATTTTATCTGGTTAATATACCTACACAAATTTTGGTAACGTTTATGCATGATCTCATATTCCCAACTAAAAAATTAATGTTATCTTTTTCATTTTTCAGGTGTTGGCATACTGTCAGTAGCGTACGCACTCTCAAAAGGTGGGTGGTTAAGCCTAGTGTTACTACTCTTGATAGCTCATTTAAGTTTCTACACTGCATTACTTCTTCAAAGATGCATGGATTCGGACCCCCTTATCAAAACCTACCCTAACATAGGCGGAAAGGCATTTGGGAGAATAGGGAGTGCGATTATCTCTGCCTTCATGTACCTAGAGCTTTACTTGGTGTCAGTTGAGTTTCTAATTTTGGAAGGTGACAATTTACATAAGTTATTTCCAAAAAAAAGTTTTGACATTTTTGGAAAGAAAGTTGGAGGGAAACAAGGGTTTATTTTGTTGAGTGGTCTTGTTGTATTGCCTACAACTTGGTTAAGAAATTTGAGTGTTTTGGCCTATGTTTCTGCTGGTGGGGTGATTGCAACTGTGATTCTGGTGGTGGCTGTATTGTGGGGTGGTGCATTTGATGGAATTGGATTCCATGAGAGAGGGGAACTCTGGAATTGGAATGGGTTGCCAACTGCGGTAAGCATGTTTATGTTTTGTTACTGTGGTCATGCTGTTTTTCCAACTCTATGCAATTCCATGAGGGATAAGTCCCAATTCCCGAAGGTAAGTATATTTAATTTTGTTTATATTTCACCTTAATCATCATTCTTAAATACTTAGAAAAGACAATATAATGTACTAAGAAGATGAGCATTTTAAACTTTTGAACGTAGAAATTATAACCCTTGTAATTGAACGACCTTTTTTGATGTTTTTCGTTAACTAAAACCCAAAATCTCCTAATATATATTAACCAACGGCTATTAAATAATATGCATAAAAAAGTAATTTAGTGACAAACAGTCTGGCTTTTTTATTTGTTGCAAGTCTATATATAATCCTCTAGTGCTTATCTATTATTGCAGGTTCTACTTGTTTCCTTTAGCGTGAGCACTATAAGCTATGGATTGATGGCGATATTAGGCTACTTGATGTTCGGAGAACACATAGCATCACAAGTGACATTAAATCTTCCCACAAAAAATATAAGTTCAAAAATAGCAATATACACAACACTAATGATCCCCATAGCCAAATATGCCTTAATCATAGAACCAGTTGCCACACCAATAGAAGAAACACTTCCCTTTCGAGAAAGCAAGATGATGAGTTGTCTCATTCGGACATGTCTTGTGGTCAGCACAGTCTTCGTGGCATTGTTGGTCCCCTTTTTTGGCTATGTGATGGCATTTATAGGAGCATTTTTGGGCATCTCCATGTCGATATTGTTTCCATGTTTGTGTTATTGGAAGATTGTCATAGGGTTCAAGAGATTTGAGGTAGAAATGATGGTGATTTTGGTTATCTTGTGTGTTGGAATGTTTATTGAAGTGGTGGGTACTTACACGGCTGTAACAAACATTATAAATGAGGTTCAAACTAAATGAATCGAACACTATATTCTTATTGTTATTCAAAATTGTAGGGATTTGTTAGGCAATGTACGTGACTCTTAGGCATTCAGAATATCCGACATCAAAAAATAGTATTGAGTTTTAAATTTGGAAAACAATAAATGTTAGAAACTAAATTCATTTTATAATGTCTACCAACACTACTCTCCTTGTCCTCTCTTTTAGAAAAAATAAAATTTTGTTTCCTTTCAGAAATTAAATGAGCTAGCTTCTGTTACAAAATTAATTACTTCTCGAATTCTTTGATATTTCCCCGTATTTGTGTGCTATATAGCTTTTGGAGTTTGTTGTTATTTACCCGTGATTGGATTGGAATCTTGATCTCCAATTCTCCATCACCTTGATTATCAACCATGCACTAGTTCAAATCCTTTATAGGGTTCTATATAATTTATAAGGATGATTTTATGTCACTACAAGAAAAAAAGGTATTAGCGGCGACAAAAGTCGCCGCTATTGCTCACCAAAGTCGCCGCTAATAGCTTTACCAGCGATACGTCGCCGCTATTAAATCGCCGCTACTGTCTTGTCGGTATTGATCAAAAAGTCGCCGCTAATGCTCACTGTCGCCGCTAATGATGATGTCGCCGCGAATACTCATGTCGCCGGTAATGCTACGTGTCGCCGCTAATAGTGTCGCTGCTATTGCCTTTTTTTTTATTTTTTTTAAAAGCAGTCATTTTCGGCTGTCCAAAAACTGATACATAATAACGTTAAATGCATAAAAACCGATACGTTAAATTCAGAAAAACGATTACATAACATCCAAGTTTTATAATACCATACATAGACCAAATAAATAACAAAATTCTTATAAATTTATATCATACAACAATATCTAATAAAAGATAAATCTAATACGACGTGTCATTATCCCCGCCACCGTTGTTCCCTCCTATAAGTTCCACAGTAGACTCTGGACCGTTGTTCCCGCCACCTATTAACTTAAACCAAACTTAAAATTATCAAATTAACAAACCACCTAACTAATATTAACCTTTTAAGTTAAACCAACAATCAAACCAACAAACTAATAATTACCGATTTATCTACAAATACACATTATATAGGAACTATTATAGTAATTTACTTTAAATAACATTTTCAATAATAGCGTGCTACTTGCTTTTTGTTTCTTTTTTCCATTATGACATTGTACTTTATACATTGTATACAATACACTCCAAATTGCATTCAAATACACACATACATACATTATACACAAATATATACTTTTTATACACATAAAACAACCATTAACACACTCCAAATTGCACATAAATACACACGTACATACATTATACACAAATATATACTTTTTATACACATAAAACAACCATCAACACACTCCAAATTACACATAAATACACACATACATACATTATACACAAATATACATACTTTTTATACACATAAAACAACTATGAACACAATCCAAATTGCATACAAACACATACATACATACATACAAACATACATACATACATACATACATACATACATACATACATTATACACATATAAGTATTTTTTTTACACACACATATATGAAATACACACAATTTTCACACACATATATATGAAATACATACACATATAACATATTTCAGACACATATATAAAATACACACATATATACAAAATACACACACAAGTGCACGCATATAAAACAAATTACAAAAAAATGTACCTGTGGTTCTCAAAACTTTTCTCACTTTCAACTGGAATCTTTGGTGCTGCAACAATGGTGGTGGTAGTTGATGCAGGTGACAGCAACTACCGACGGTAGTGATGGTGACCAGAGAGGAAAAGAGATTTTTGAAAACAAAAATGCAATTAATCACAAACTCTTATGGAAATAGACATTAAAGTAGAAAGAAAGGAAGAGATGAGGAAGGAAACATGAACCTGGGACAAGGAAATCGACAGCAACAATAGTGATGGTGGCCGGAGAGGGGAAGTTTTTGACGACCGATGGTATCTCTTCTACTATATGTTGTTAAATTAGGGAGAATCGTTGGAGGAGAGGATAATTTTCGGAGAAAATGTTGGAACAAAATGAGAGAAGATTGAAACAGAAAGAGGAAGCAAGGGGGAGTAATCTGCGTCGACTTTTAGTGGCGACACCCAATAGCGGCGACAAAAGAATCAATACCGGCGACATCAAACCTTTAGCGGCGACATACAAAGAGGGAAAAAAGGCGCATTTTTTTCGACCTTTAGCGGCGACAATTTAGATCTTTAGCGGCGACATATTGTCGCCGGTATTGGGTTTGTGCGTTCCACGAGTTTCTCAGCCATTAGATTAGAAAAATGATCAAACGGTAGATGTTCATCAGAACGTGAAAACGCGGATTCGGGTAGGTAGGCATTACCGGCGATATCAATAGCGGCGACAACACCATTAGCGGCGACTTTTCGAAAAGTCGCCGCTAAAGGTGTTGTCGCCGCTATTAGTGTCGCCGGTAATAGCTGCATTTTTTGTAGTGTGTGCTCAATACTGAGTTTCTGAATTTTCATAAAGTGGACATTTATTCATAGCGTAGTAGCCACATGATTAGAAATGTCTAATTCTTCGTATTTATTTGTTATGTTTGATGTCGAATTATATATATGTTAGATATGATCTACATCTCTATGTTTGCTTTGGTTAATATGCAGGGTACATCTTTGTTTCTATTTATGTGTGTTCTCGATCTTTATGTTTGATGTTAGATATGTTTATGGGCGTTGCCCCAAGACCTTGCCAAACGGGCGTTGCCCTTTTGGAAACCCCGAACCCTGGGGCACTGCCCCCGGACCCCCGACTTGTTGTCAAACCGGCTTCTAGTTTTATCTTATATATGTGTGCACTCCGCACATACCCAAACATACGTTAGAGTACATTTTACAAAGCCCCTTAACTCACAAGTAAGTTCCAATTACAAAAGATATCCTAGTGACACTAAAATCATCAGCAAGATATAAGTTGGTTAACATAAGTCATATTAAACATAAGGCCAAAAAGAATTTTATTGATCATATTATACGTCATGCATCATGTTAGTAAATAATAAATAGAGTTGTACTATACATACCCCTCACTCGCATAAATTATCAAATCATAATGATAAACACACATTATTCTAGTCACATGGGGGAGGGGGTATACAAATCAATTTATGAGTACATATAGAATTACATAAATGTACGATCTGTATTGTCAACAAAGACATTCAAGTCACATATAGGAAGAAAACTTTATAAGAAAAATTCAAAAAAAAAAAAAAAAAAAAAAAAACAATTACATCAAATAACATCTTGGACTTCATTAATATACCAACTTTCAGACTTATTAATAAACTAATATTATAACTGATATGAGCTAACTAATCAAGTAATCATGAGCATGTTAGTATCCTAATAAATAAGAATAATTTTTTTTTTTTTTTGAAGTTTATGTTTCAATGACTTAAGTATGTGATTATTTTCACTTAAGTTGGGAACCATTTTTTTAAAAAGCAGGACTATTATAAAGAACTAGGGGGAAGCTAGAAAGGATTAGTCACAGTTGGGGGGAAAGACAACATGACCCAATATGTTTATGTTACTTAAGTTGTGAACCATGACCACAAAAAGGAAAAACATTGGTTCAGCTAACCTCAAACTTGATACTATTTTCGGTTTTAGATATTTGAAAGATTCTAATCGTTAGTCACTTATAATCCATACAAAAACCCCTTAATTGGAAACTGGAATTACAGGAAGGATATCGAGTTCAATTCATTTAGTTTTAACCTCATTCATAATGTTTGTTAATGCCGTATAAGTACCCACCATTGCAACAAAAGTTCCAATAAACAAGATCATCAGAATCAGCATCTTTTCTGTTCCAAATTTCTTGAACCCTGTTGTGATCTTCCAATAACATAAACATGGAAACAATATCGACACATTAATGCCCAAAAATGCACCCATAAATGCCATCACGTAGCCAAAATAGGGAACCAACAACGCCACAAAGACTGTGCTGATCAACAGACATGTTCGGATTAGACAACTCATCATCTTGCTTTCTCGAAATGGAAATGTTTCTTCTACTGATGTCGCGATTGGTGCTATAATTAACGCGTATTTGGTTATGGGGTTCATCAATGTCGTGTAAATTGCTATTTTTGAACTTATATTTTTTGTGGGAAGATTTAAAGTTACTTGTGATGCCAAGTGTTCCCCGAACATCAAGTAGCCTAATATCGCCATAGATCCATAGCTTATGGTGCTTAAAATAAAGCAAACAACTAGAACCTGCAATCATAGATAAATATCCTAAGAATACATATGTTATTTTATTTTTAATATTCTTTTTATTAATATTTACGGAATAACATCAATTCTTTCGGTTATTACTTATGAACTTAATACCCTTCTTTCCTATTGATCGAACATGGAAATACCTTTCTGTAGTAGCAAGGTAAAAGTTTTAATACGTATAAGATGATATGAAATTTTGAATCCATATAAACAAGAAAGAAGTAGGATAGGAACACTACAAAAAGGACCTACAAATATATATAAATTAGTAGCAACGTAAGTGGGGCAGAGTGTCCCTGTCTTGGATTTATAGTTTAAATGTTTAATTGGTTTCATTACAGTAATTAATCCACAAGCTTTCAACCTTGTTAAAAAAATGGTTTAACAATAAAGTGTAGAAGGGTAGTTTTGTCTTCACAAGCTTTCAGTTCTATCAATTTGTCAACTAAGCATATTATCGATGGAATCTTTCATTCCAAATTCTTCGAATTCTTCCAGAATCTACCAAACAAACACGCTCTTTGGGTTTTTTAGTTATTGGAGAACAGATTTAGTCCATCAAAAAAAAAAAGAGTACTAACCTTGGGGAATTGGGACTTATCCTTCATGGAATTGCATAGAGTTGGAAAAACAGCATGACCACAGTAACAAAAAGTAAACAAGCTTACGGCAGTTGGCAACCCATTCCAATTCCAGAGTTCCCCTCTCTCATGGAATCCAACTCCATCAAAAGCACCACCCCAAAACACAGCCAACACCAGAATCACCGATGCAATTACTCCGCCAGCAGAAACATATGCCAACACCCCCAAATTTCTCAACCAAGTTGTAGGCAATACCACAAGAGCAGTCACCAAAACAAACCCTTGTTTCCCTCCAATTTTCATTCCAAAAATGTCAAAACTTTCCTTTGGAAATAACTTGTGTAAATTGTCACCTTCCATAATTAAAAACTCGACTGCCACCAAGAAAAGCTCGAGGTACATGAAGGTAGAAATAATCGCCCTCCCTTTTCTCCCAAATGCCACTTGGCCTATGTCGGGGTAGGTTTTGATGAGTGGATCTGAATCCATGCATCTTCGAAGAAGTAAACCTGTGTAGAAACATAAAAGAGCAACCAAGAGTAGTAAAATTATGCTTAACCACCCACCTTCTGAGAGTGCATAGGGGATAGAAAGTATCCCGACACCTAAAAGTGAAAAGATAAGATTTTAGTTGAGAGATATGAGATCATGCATTAGTTAATTACAAACTTTTTTGTCGGTATATCTACCAGATAAAGTGTTGACTCCATTGAAGCATGTTCTTAGGAAGGTGGTGCCTTTGGTTGGTAATGGTTCATGTGACTGTGAATGTTGGTTTTGGCTCTCCATTCTCCCGACATTGTTGGTGTCCATTTTTGGTTGGGTTGGGACTCTCACAAGTATTGTTTGTTCTTACAAGAAGGCGAGAATTATTTATAAACAAACTCGCAATAGTTAATTCAAGATTATGTGGAAAGTTGCCACGACATTAAGATTCTCTTGATTTGGCTTTTCCTTTTAATTATTTATTGTTTTTGAACAAGGGCCCTATTTAAGTTTTTTTTTTTTTTTTTTTTTTTTTTTTTTTTTTTTTGATGATCGATAGATCGCAGCGGTTAAAACCACCAACCGCAGCCAACCCCCTCCGATGCCACCTACAACAGCTCCCGGCCTCTCGCAGACTGGGGACATGTCAGAGATCAAACTAGTTTAAACTAGTGTGGACTCTTCACATCTTAACTATACAAATATAACTTAAATCTCTTCCGTAGGTAATTTCTAATTACCTTAAAATAATTGATGACAACAAAATCACCGATAAATGAAAATGTTTGGTGGTAATTTAAAGATAAGCAAGGTTGTCAGAATTAAGATGACATGGATTATAAAAGAATAAGTATGTGATACCCACCAAGCGCAACATCAAACTTGGTATGATCCTAAATTTTCTTTTGTGTGGCTAATTTATGGTTTTATATTGTTTCATCCCACAAATAACAAGTTAAAGAACATATTTAATATATTTGGTGACCATAAAAAGTTGTGTGTATTTGATACTTTAATGGATGGGTAGCCATCATGAGTGGAAAACTATATGGTCAGCAAAAGAAGATAGTGAAAATGAATAGATCACCATTTATATTCTTAACATGTAAAAGGAAGCAATATTTCTGGTATATGTATCCCCATTTGTATCTTCAGTTCCACATTTGTCTGGTATCTCTATCTCCAATTCCATGCACATTGTCATGGTACAAACAACTTTGTATTTGGTATGGTGGTATGGTCCCTTTTGCAGACCCTCATTTTTTTGTTATCGTTTATGGGATAACATTTTGATCAAAAGTTATATATATATATATATATATATATATATATATATATATATATATATATATATATATATATATATATATATATATATATATATATATATATATATATATATATGTTAAGATTCATTTGAGACCATGTTAATTCTGTGAGACCGTAAGACTAAATATAAAAATAATTTTAAAATGTAAAATGAAAAGAAAAAAAATCTAAAAATTCTTTTTTTAATTATTATTTTCGGAATTTTATTCACCTAAAAAAATTTTAAAAAAATTATTGTTTTTTTTTTTTGTAAAAATGTGAAATATTCTAATAGAATATTACACTGTATATTTCTAATATGATGTTTAGAATGTTTAGAATATTCTACTAGATTTGTCAGATATGTAGAATATTCTAAATATTCTACTAAAATATGTAAAAAAAAATGTAATTTTTTTCGGTTTTTTTTGTTGGTATTTTTTTAATTTTTTTTGGAAAATATATATTCCAAAAATAATATTGGGAAAAAAATTTCGAAAATTTTCAATTATTTTACATTTTAAAAATATTTTTGTTTTATCTACTAAATAAGTTATTAGGATTGCATCTCATGGTCTCACAAAATTAAGCTGTCTCACATGAAACTAACCATACATATATATATATATATATATATATATATATATATATATATATATATATATATATATATATATATATATATATATATATACTAGCCGTCTACCCGCGCAAAGCGGCGGGGCACGTGAGTTCTTTCGGTGATATGTTTCCATTACAAAATTGTTATGTTAAAAAAAAGTACATGTTGAAGACAATATAATCAAACTATGGTGTTATTTGTTACATCATGCATCAAATAACCAATAAAAAGCAACCAGTCAAGACAATACAAAATATTAATCGTGCAATACTTCTTTATACACCACATTTGCTGTATAAACCCCATCACCTTTTGAATTTTCGTTAGGCTGTACTAATACTTTTGTATTGCAACGTGAAACCCCTCTGGACAATGCAACATAAAGTTGTCCATGCGAGAATACTGGTTCTGGAAGATAGATACCTACATATGGAATTGTTTGTCCCTGAGCTTTATTGATTGTCATTGCAAAGCACAATCGAATAGGAAACTGTTTCCTCTTTAGCTTGAATGGGAACATATCATCATCAGATGGACATAAAGGAATCTTAGGCAAAAATATCCTTGTTCCTGCATGTTGACCAACAGCTATTTCTGCATCAATAACATTTTGCTGAAAGCTTCTACATATCAATCGGGTGCCATTACACAACCCATTTGCTGGGTCAATATTCCGTAACAGTATTATCGGACATCCAACTTTTAATCGAAGGTAATGCGGAGGTAAACCACTAACACTGATCGAGTTTAAGAATTCCAACGGATAGAAGCCATTTTTATCATCTATGGCTTCATCGACACTATAGTAAATTCTCTCTTCTCCTTGAAATCGATCGATCATGTAATCGTTAATCGCATCGACACTATCATTTTTTGTAGATAATATTGCCCGCGATATGATATAATCTGATTCAGACCTATTAAATTCCAATGAGGGAAACACTGCATCAATCAAAGAATCTAATGATTTTTCTTTATCAGTGTATGGAATGACCATATCATCAGGGATGCGAATAAAACTTCCGTCCACTGTTTCTTCAACTCCATCACCAACCCGTAATAGAAAGTTTGAGAACCATGGATCAGTAAGTGCTCTCATATTTATTGTTAACCGCAACTTTATAATCGAAGACCAAAGAGGCGACATTCGTAGGCTAGAGTCTACAATTTGTGCTCGTGTCCCACGTCTTACGACTGGCAATACTTGTCTAAAATCGCCTCCCAGAACCATTATCTTTCCACCAAAAGGGAGTGCCACCCCAGTGATATCTTGCATTGTCCGATCAAACGCCTCCACCACCTGTCGCTTTGCCATCGATGCCTCATCCCATATGATTATTTTTGCAAGCCGAAGTAGTTGAGCGGTACCGCTTTGTTTTTGGATTCTACAGAATGAGTTATTATCTGGAGTTAGAGGAAGTTTGAAACGCGAGTGAGCTGTTCTCCCCCCAGGCATGTTATTAGCCGCAACACCCGATGAAGCTGTGGCGAGTGCAATATGACCAAGTTTGCGTATATTAGCAAGTAAAGCTTTGTACAGATATGTTTTTCCTGTTCCGCCAGGACCATCTATGAAGAACACTCCTGTACAATCAGTACACACATGCCTCATGATCTCATCATATGCATATTTTTGTTCAGGATTGAGAAACTCTTTGGCACGCAAATGGTCATCTTCCACAATTATAGAGCATTCTTCTTGTACCTCTCGAAAAACTCCAGACTGAAAATTCAAATCGGTGTTTACAGTCGGGAGATCAAAGTTATCAAGCTTGTTACCCATAGACTGTAGGAATACGCTTATGTCTGTAAGGACCATATTTTGTACTCGATTGACATTATCGTATTGTCTACTATAATCTTCGGAGAGAGAATTGTAGTGGGAATTCCATATCTTGCGAACATCTCCAGGATCACAAAAAACTAATATCGTTGCAAACAACCTTCTGAGAGCATTTGGAAACTGAAACAAGGAGGCCTCTACAAGACACTGCGATAAACTATCATCTGTCTCTATTAACCCTCTTTCAAGAGCCGCTTTTCGAAATGTGGGATGTCTTACGTTATTGACTGTGTACAGATCTTCAAAACATGTAGGACCCCTAACATGACATAATAACACACGTAGATAGTATCGCTCACCTTCAGCAGGATTTGCAGAAACCAAACGACCAACTGCTCGTGATACTTTTCGAGGATTCCATAGACGCGATTCTTTATTCCATGTGAAGTGTTTGGGAAAATCTTTGTATAAATATTCTCTTGCATTAACGTTATCTTTATTCATCTTGAAAAATGCAGTCAACATTGATCTCTTATCTTTCTCCCTCTCAACAACTGATTTCATTGCATCATCATCAGTGAACCTAACCAACTGTTGGTTTGGAAGATGCAATTGCAAAGTGATCACATTAGGGTGGATTTGATTAAGAGAAAAGCTAAAAATTCGCCATACTGCTTCTGGAGCGGAGACGTATCGTGCATCCTGAAAACGTTTTATCTCATTGATAACAACAGGTTGTGCATCTGGATCAATATGGATAACTTGCTTGTCATGACCCTTGTAAATATACTTAAAGATGTATTTCACTGATGTTATACTCGAGCAAACCTCAACATTTAGATGGCAGTTGAACATCATCAACAACTTTGGGTTATATGGGACAACCCATCTATTATCCATCATAATACCTTGTTTATTCACAGCAATTCCATTATCTCTCCTTCGATAAACCGGATATGTGTCCTTTCCTTGTGTTGTGGCTTCGTTGAATTGTCGAGGGTATCTAAAACGACAGGTTGGTGGATCACCTTGCATACAAGAACATTTTTTGTTTAATGTACCACAAGGACCATGTATCATGTGTGATTTGACCAGATCGTGTAGTATAGGATACTTTGTCGGGTTTGGAATTTCGGCACACACATACTTGTCATAATGGTCTGTATTGGTGAGCTTCCATTCAGGTTTCATTATTAAGAGAAAATGAGCATGTGGTAAACCACGTTTCTGGAACTCTATTACATAAACATATGCACTCACCACACCAAGGACGTGCCTCTTCAAGAGTTGTTCCTTAAGGTCATGTAACTTAGCACGAAAAACTCTTGCAACCAGATCTGGTCTATCTTGTGCTGTTTGAAAATGAAGTAACTCATTTTGGATTTCAGGCCAATTCGGATTGCACGTTATTGTAAGGAATATATCAGGTTTCCCTCCATCTTGAACTAAAGCCATAGCATCGAGAAATCGTCGTCGCATGTCACGAGGACCTCCGATGAAACTTGCTGGCAAAACAACACGTTGCCCAATCATACTTGCTTGTACCTCACCGGCATTGACACAATCCACAACACCTTGGTATAACTCCGCTCTTATTGTAGATTGGTTTTTTCTACAAAATTCCAAACGCGAAGTCTCAATCTTGATGTAGATATCTACCACAAATTGTTGTAATAATCTCCCTCCTAAC